ACACGCACACACACACACACACACACACACACACACACACACACACACACACACACACACACACTTCCAGGCACTCGGGACCTTGTGTTCCCTGCTGCTGTAAACCTTTAATGAAGAGCAGAGATGTGTCAAGGGGGCAGGGGGACTGTGTGCTCTTTTCCATGAGAGTTTTGCAGGTTCTCACTCTCCAAAAGTATTGGAAATTGATCGTTTTTAAAACTCTTTCAAAAATATCAACTGCAGATATAATTCTACTGTTTGTTGTGAGTTTGTGTTCATCATTTCAAAGCAACACAATACCTTGAATTCCCTAATGCAGAGGTTTTACATATGGACGTTTTTGTTGGACTCTGATGTTTGAAGAAAATGTGGCCCGTCTCTCTCTTAGATTTGAGTTTGTTCAAATATTACAACATTATAGAAATGATATTAAATGATAACAAGTAAATGTAATCTTGAAATGGCATACCAAAATGTCGAAAGAAAATAGTAATAAAAAGCGTGCCGTTGTTGGACTGTTTATCTGCTGCTTTGGTTCGTAGTCGACGTCGATATCTCGTGTTTTCATATTCTCTTTCAAGAGATACAAATTATTTTTTTATGATGTTGAAGCCATTTTCAGCTTGCCCAGTCCACATCTCCTCTCATGCCATGCGACTTAGGAAATTGCTCAGGGAATGAATTTGTTTCCCTCGCTTAAAAAGGGTGCTTGTGAAAGGCTGCACATCACTTGAAGTGAATATTTATGGGCGATACAGTATGAACGCCTGCCTTTGATCAGACGCCCTAATGACCATAAAACCCTTGTGTCGATTGAGAGGGAAAACAAAATGAGCCAGAAGTCTGAGGAGAAGCCTGCTCACCTCTTCTCTTTTCCATCCTTTCCACGACAACAACCGAGTAAACACACATTGTTCCTTCGTACCCACCCTTTGGAATCCAGAATGATGAAATGGACATCAATTATCATCCTGTTTTCTTCCCAGCATAAACACAGTCCAGTAAAAACACAACAATGCTGTAAGTGTCCCCAGCGATGCTCGAGATGTTTTAATTATGCCTTGAGGCATGTCTGCTGAAAGTGATCAACTTATCCCTTTGGGGAAAGTGAACTGTGTTTTCAGCCCACCATAGAAAATATATATTTTGCTTAAAGGATAGTTTCTGTCACACAAAACAACTCTCATGCCCACGTGTGCATTTAAAGAGTTTTTCAATGATGTAATTATTCCTTCTGTTCATGTTGGCCGAAATTAGATTTCTAGGGGCAGTATCTTCAGGTTCATATGTGTCTGTTGTGCCTCTTCTGTGACATGTCTCCATGCTTTAATGTTCATAAAGCTCTTTATTGTTCTCATACTGTCTGTGCTGCCTCTTTCCATCAGAATCAGCCCAGTCGGCTCTGATTGGTTAGCTGGTTGGCTTTGTCGTGATTGGTCAACCGCTTAGAGATGTCCCGCCCCTTAGCCTATCACATACAATGTGTTGGAGCGTTAGCAAATAGAAGCGCAGGTTTTACATAGTGATGTCATTATGTTATGGAAGTAAACAAAGCAGTCCAATGGAGGCGTTTCAGGCAGGGGGAGAAACTCCCTCTGGAGGGGACTTTGGGATTTTAGCCTTAGCAAATGTCGTAGCAGCTTTGAAATCAGCTGTGGTCTAGAGAGAATTATGAGTTAGTTAATAAACGCACAGCAACACAATATTCGTATTAAAGGTATCAAAGATCTTTTATGCTCGCAAGTATGACGTCTCACCAGAGAGCATGTGCTGTTCTGAGTGAAACAGGCTCTCCTTTATAGGAGGACATCAAAGCTTAGTTACATTACAAACAACATTTGGTTAGGCCAGCTGAGACCCCCTGGCACTGTATGCAAAACTTACACCCTACACAGAGCAAAAGGGATACAGATAACACCTTATCCTAACTTCCTTCCCCTCATCCTATATTCTAATGGATGTCATAAAACCCCCTAGTCTACATACATCTGTTTCACACACACATTGAAGAGGTCCCTTCCCACGCTATGACTTAATCAGAGGAATGGTTTACAGTCAGCAATGTTAATACATTTGATCTCACAATTTCCATAACACAGAACATTAAAATGGACAAAGACCTTTATAACACACTACAGGAAAGGGAAATACTAAAAAGCATAATGAGGCCTCGTTATGATCAGGGAGTCCACAGATCAATGCAAAGTAAGTTTAAAAATGCAGTTTGTTAAATTGACCTGCTTTAACTATTTCAGTCCAAAATGTCCCCTATTATTTCCAACTTATTTGTAGAACGAGGGAATGTTCTACTTATTTAAGACTCATTTAGCAGATGCCCTTTTGATCAGTCTGAATTATAAGCCTTATATAAGCATTAGCTTTAGCTTTGAATTTAAGATGAATTTTAGCACAGAACCAATACTGTTGATTTCATGCTACAGTATATCTCTTAAATAAATATATCATTAGGATTTTTTTGCACATCATAAAAGTGGAAAGATCCAATTAAAAGAAGAAAGCACATGAGAAAATGTAATGTACATATAAGCATGCAAGTGTTGCAGGACGGTCTTGAGAAACTGTGACCCTACAGTGTGCTTAAATACTTAGGAAACGTACCTTAGTGATCGAGAGTGGAGTCCTAACACAAAGGGGAAGTGTGGGGTACGGTGTTGAAGCGTCTGCTGTGTGGCCTGTTTTGTGAATTACTTTGTCAAAACACTCAACATGGCAGTCCCTCAAAAGTTTCACAAGTCCTCAGGCCCTATCTGAGGTTCTGTTGTTTCACAGAACAGCACATACGCTCTGTGAAAAGCTGCCAGGTGTCAAAAATCTTTTTTTCAAAAGTGGTGCATTTGTGTGTTTTCCTCATTTTCTCTAACCCCTTCTACCGCCGCCCCCTCACCCTTCTTCTATCCTTCCCCTCCCCTGCAGATCCCCTCTGCCGGCCAGCTAATGGAGGCTGTGCGCGTGAAGATGAAGGAGAGGAAAGTGCTGACAGAAGAGCTGGCCACGCTCGCAACACCAGTCAGCGAAAAAGCCTGACTCCCTGGGCTGAGGCTGGGAAAACTGTCATCCTCTTCTTTCCCTCCCTCCCTTCTTCTCTCCCTCCCCGGTTCCTGCTCAGTGGGAGCTGGGCTGAGCCAAGCTGAGCCGGGGCAGCAGAACCAATATTTGTGAGGAAAGCGCTGTCGACTCACTCTGGGCCACTGGCTCCACGCAGCAGCCCGGCTTTTGTAAATGAGCCCTCGACATCTGTGTTAGCGCTCAGTGCACTATGTCTATCAGACAGGGCCCTTTAGCGCCAAGCTAATTTACAGTGCAGCCACTCTCAGCGCAGACCTGGGGGTGAGAAGGCAAATGCTTACGCTAATGTTTAAGTTAGACTTTTATATTATTTTTTTGCTTGCTTTTTACCTCTCCCCCTAATTTATTTGGCACCTGAAGGACCTCGGGGTGCAGGGACTTGACCCAGCAATGCAAAGTCGACACTTTGAGAAAGTCAAGATTGCAGCAAGGAGCAGAAAATCCACCTTATGAAGTTCGATCCATTTTTATCAGACGTGATCCACAGCTCTCAGAAAGATCCAGAGACTGAAGCCCGCTGGATTTTACGGAGCAAATGCACTGCAATTATTTATTTCTGAAGGAAATTGTTACAGCTTCTACTTTGTAAGAATGTATTCTGTTGATAATTTATTTGGTAATTATGTTCAATATCAATGATTTTTTTCTGAAAAACTCCCCTTAACGTTTGAATAAAAATCCATTTCACTTATTTTCGTCTATTTTTTGTGCTTTAAAAAACGTGTTGTAAATGTCATTGTCCTTTTTTCTAAATGGTCTCGTGTATTTTTCCAGCGGTTCAAAGGACTGTCAGTCAGTGTGCGATGTGGCTGAGGATGCTCTGTGGACCGCAGGGTTCTCCCACCTCTCTCGTGATTGACAGCTGACTGTTGGCATGGTTCCTGTCTGTAACAGCTGACCTCTGCTGTTGACATCATTAACAAGGGTCCACAGGAGCACACACACACACTGCACAGCACAGGGGTGTATTAGAGGAGTGGGTACATCCTTGACACAACTACCTTCATCCCCTTTTATCTGTTTCCCTTTTCTTCTTCTTATTCATTTGGAATATTAAACCGTGATCCTGGTCTCCTCTGTCCTTGAGTTGGCATCCTACACAGGAGACCACACTCCTCCCTTTAAGTCATTTTTTTTTGTACTCCTTTCTATACCTCTCCTAGCTTTTGTTTTCCTCTTCATGGCCCTCCTCCTCCTCCTCCTCTCCTTTTATTATGTATAATTAACAATGGTGTGAAGACTCCTCCGTTCAGGAATGAAAAATAAATAATTCCACTTTTTAATCCCCCCTCCCTCCTCAAATATATGCTAATGATGTCGTTTTCCTTTATCTTTTTATAATAAAGGATTAGGCCAGGACTGTCTCTAGCTGCAACTCGGGGACCAATTTAGCTGGGATCCAGGAGAGACAAACCCTTGTGGTTAATTACCATTCATTAACATAGTTTGCATCTTTTCTTCCTCGCTAATAC